ATAAAATCACCGAGAACATGGATGAAAGCCGCGCGTACATTCACATTAGTACTAAACAATGTCACCCAATAAGTTTGAAAATGCATCTTTATTACAGTTACATTCTTATTAATATCACGTACGGTAAAATCAGTTTTCAAAACACAATTTCGGTTACTGTTAATCAGATAAAAATTTGAAAAAAGTACCTACTGGCTGTGACTATGACCTATATCTTGTGGATGAGCACAACGGAAATACCGCAAAACGAGTCCCATTATAATATTAAATATTACGCCTGCGCTTGCTGTTACAATCATTGTATTTGCATCAACCTGAAACTGTCATACCAAATAAAATCCTCCGATTTAAAAAAAAGACCTACATAACTGGGAAATTTGTCTAAATCAAATTTAAAAAAAAAAGAAAGGAAATACATGTTTCTATAATAAAAACGAGAATACAAATTTTTTTTTATCCTCGATATTTCACCTTAATATCATTATCATATGATTAAATTAAATCATAGAAACATATATTAAATTCAAACATAATTTTACTAACAACGTAAAAAGCTTTTTCAAATTCCGATATTATTTTTTAAAAGAAAATTTTATTCGTAAATAAAATCTGTTATCCATTTAGTACTTTCTGGACGACTAATACCATATTTGATTGGCATTTTTCAAAGTGCATTTCGAATATATAACTTTGATATTGTGCAAATAATTTTATTTACTTAGCATTTCAAACGCTTATGGTATGCCAAGCATTACAAGAACTATTACCATTCCAATAAATTTGCCCTATTATACTCATACAATGGAAAGTCAAATTTTCTGACGAATTCTACAGTTCTCAATAAGTTAATTTAAATACCAATGGTTGCATTTTTCTTAAATTAACATATTAAGATTGGAATGCTCATTTATTGTTAGAGTCAAAACTTGAATCGTTTAAACACATAATTCGGGTTATCACTAAATTATGGATAAAAAAAAGATGCTATTACAAACACAATAAACAAACAAACATTGAAATTATTATTGATAATCCGCTGTAAAGCAAGCATAACAAGCATCGTTGTAAGAATCCATACGATTATAATCGATATCGTAGCACCCAAAATCTCCGCACGAAGGAAACCAAATGATAAGCGGTAATTTGCTACAACTTTCACTGTAGTTTACACAGCCAGCATTAGATTATTTAACATTTTCTATTGGTGTAATCAATATGCAATGTACAAACCGTACATCCAAATCAAATCAAAATTGCTCATTCTGCATACAATTTAGGTTTTCTTTTCTTTCTGGTTTCCAATATAGATCCCTTTCATGTTTTTCAACACATTACTCAATTCAAAAGAATATGCGTCAATAATGAAATGATGACAGATATGCAGTATTCTCGCGATACTAAAGAACAATGAGTCAAAACTTCAATATTGCTAAAAGATATTTAATTACTTATATACTGTCTGGTATTCGGTACGTGCTTACACTTTTAAGGAAAACGCTAAATTTGGAGAAATAAAAAAAGAGGCAATTGTTCCTTTAGTGTTAAAGACGTTCCGATTATCTAATAAACGGAAGAAAGCCTGACATAAAAATCAAACCAGGAGAGCGCGAAAGTCGAATTGCTATGATAGATATAATAAAGGAGAGCAAATCACTTAGCATATGTCCAGCATCAGTCATTATAGCTAAACTTTGGGCCAAAACGCCACCGCTAAATTCAGCAATAATAAAAATGGCACTTAAAATTGCTACCACTACCAATGATCGTTCAGCTCTTCGATCCTGGAAATATATAAAGTCTATTACTACATTTTCTTTCGTTTGATATTAAATTAGCTTTGCTTTTAAATCATAACTACTGCCTAAATTGGTAGCTAAATTTTCATAGTTTTGAATAAAATATGTAAATAAATGTGAATAGAGTGTTCAACCACTTTTTTCTGAGGAAATACAACTTATATGCAACTGATGAAACTGATGAGCTCATCCTGCTGAATAGTGACGTTTTGAAATGTCAACAGTAGATCTTGAGTAAAATGTCAGATTTTGAAAAAAAAACGAACAACTGACTAACAAAAACTTAACAACCAAGCAAATTTAACTGTTTAAACATCACTTACATGAAATATGATCGGTGTAATAGAACTAATAAAATGATATGATAATTAACAGAATGATCTAGATACTACATGCAACATGAATACAGTTAGTAGATTAGCAACTGATAAAATTGGCATATTGATCATGTTACAATCGATATAACACGATCACAAAGTAGCACGATTGATGGACCAACAAAAACAATGGAATCATATGATCATGATGAGTGTATCATTAATGAAAAAAGTAATCGGTATAATGACAAATGTTCCATTATATTTGGTACTACATGTCCCCACTGCCACTGATGTAAAATAACTTAATATTTGTTAACTTTTTCGGAAAATGTAAGCAAAAGTCAATAAACGTTACGTGGAAGCGGGACATGAATAAAATGAAATACATATACCTCTTTTTGGGATAGCAACAAAAAATGACAATGTTCCTGCAGGTGAGAATGATCGATTGATTCTTGTTCATCATCACTACTATCCTGATCATTATAGATTACATTTCGATCATCATTATCATCATTTGAAGTGTTATTATTTGTTCTCCATAATGACCTCAACATTTCGTCCGAACAGACAAATCGATTACAATATGGCTGCAGTAATATATATCAAAAACATAATAAAATCATTCACTGTGATCGAAATATCCAAGTCTTATCGGTACATCCGAAAAGTTCTAGACAATAAGTGCTTCTATACCTGCATAACATTTCTGCACTCTCACAATTGTTTTCACCTAAGTTATTCAAAGCAATATTCACACGGCCCTACCACGAAAACTATTATCCTAAATTGATGAAATTTGAAAAAACGCAATGTTAGGAATGCAATCGGCAACATGAGTAAGACATTTTCTCTAATAAGCGAAAATTCTTGAACAAACATCGATTAAGGTATGTTTGACCTTCCTTTTTGGTGTCTCTCTTTTTGCAAATTGAATTTTTACGTATATACTGTTTCTTTAAACCCGGAATGTTGAAATTAAATTTAAAATATAAAAATTCTCCGCAACTAAATGTTAGAGAAGAATGATGAAATGACTTTTCACCATTTTTTTTTTTTATTTTATTTTTTTCGCAAAACTGTGTTGTAAAACTATACTGTGTTTTCTTTTCGTATCAAACTAATAAATTTTTTAGTTACTAATAATGACTGTTGAAGATGATTTAGGTTTTAGTTAAGTTAGATCCTTAATTTGTGCATAAAATGCTGTTAGCAACTAATCATGTTTAGGGTATCTGTAATACTTTCTCCCTTTATTAATATATCACTTAACTGAAAAAGAAGAAAATTTAACAAAACTACAAGATTAGGAACAAAGATATATGTGAGTGAAAAGTCAATATTCCGTATCCACCCTTTTTTTCCGTTTTCTTTCCTCTCTTTGTTCCAGTTTTCGGAAATTATGCCGGAAACGTATATGCAACGATCAATATTTCCATTTGTTCCTGAGTATGGTCGTCAGATGTAGACATATTACTAAGTTCTATGATCTCTATAATAGCATTGAAATATTCTAGGAATGCATGTAAGATGAAAGCCTTTTCAAAATGCTTTGATTTTTTTTTCTAAAAAATAATTTTTAAAATTTGAGTCTTCTTAATCGCATACTTTAGAATGACTTGCAATTTAATTTTTTTAGCAATAAATCATCGACAAAAGGAATAAATAAATAAATGTTACTGTTGCGATTTGTAAATTACTTCATAATATGAGTATAAAAAGAGATTACGGAAAGAGGCTGTAGCAAAAGATCCAATTTTTCATTTTTAATCGGCAGTTCAACAAAAAATTGCAACAATGAATGCATCACTTACTGAATGTTATCAATGGTTGATAGTTATCACTAGTAACTGATAACTGATATACATAGAATGACTGATAGCTGTAACTAATAGTGAGCAGTGATAAATGCAATGGCAAGCTGAAAGGGCATTTCATAAGCAGTAAATTTTTATGGCGATCAACTATTTGTAAATATAATTGTTGATAAAAATAAATTAGTTCATAAGACTCTATAATTATTAATCGTAACAAATAAAATTATTTATATAATCAGTAGAAAACATACATATTTTATCACATTTTTATAGTTATAGACTTGATACTCCTTGTTGTCATTATTTGTGACGTTATTTACCAAATATCCGCTGTTTCTTTCATTTTTTCCGATCGCTAATTAACTTTTAATCTTAATTCATCTTCAGCAGTTTCCATTTTCATCTATAATTGTAACTGAAATAATCATTGATGATACTGTTATCAATAAAGAAAATAAGATTTGTAAAAACTTGCTTCTATCATAAAATAATTCAAAATAAATCAAACAAATTACTTGCTTATGGCTTTCAAAATTAAGAAAATCTGGCTATAGTGTCCTTCAACAACTTTTTATTCACTGTATTAAACCTTTTAAAAATCTTTTCTTTTTTAATAGCAATATCAGCTAGCTACAATTCCTTTTCTTATTCACATTAATAATGAAATTTCAAATTATGTCCACCAAACTAACTTGCAAAATTTATGATATATGCAGAATGTCAAACAACAAACTGTTGATCTCTCTGTTTCATCCAATACTTCGTTCATTAGTTTGTATATCAAAAAAATTAATATTTATTTTTTGCAGCTATTTCGTGAATAGCTATGATCATAATTATTGAACATATTTCCAACTACAAATTAATATTTAAGAGAAAAATTTCTTTCCTTCTTTCGTAGGTTTACGTAAAAATTGAAATTGATTAAAAACATTTATTAAAAAGTATAATACGTTCCCGAAATTTTGTGATATATTGAAGTAAACAAAAAAAGCAAATATTCAAATGCAGGAGTGGACAACAACTAACGTTTAAATGGTATATGTTTACGTATATATTATTCCATAATGAAGCTAATAACTTTCGCCCTATTTAGTATTACAATTATACCTATACAAGGTAAGTTATTTTTGAAAAAAAAAATAATTTTATAAAATGTAATAAAAAAATAATTCAATAAAATGTAACAATTAGAATTGATCAAAATATATATTAAAAAGCGAAAGAATTCATTAATTTTAGGTTTTTGACAAAAAATAATGTTAGTATACTTATATATATATATGAGTTTCTTATAATAAGTTTTAAAGTATAACATTAAATCTTTTAAATTATAAAATACAAACTAAGAAACAATCCTTTATTTATTATATGTGAGTAAAGCAGAATTAAACAAACTCAAATATTATGGCAAGGAATTGTAATCACCACTGAATAGAATAATGTATAACACCTACATTTCGTGAAAAATACTCACAAAAGTGAAATCCATGCATGGAAAAATTAGGGAAAAGTAGAGATAGATTACTTTGTATCTTGATGAGACTCAGTTATCAGTACGTACCAGACATATCTACCTCAATTACTGCAGAGTGCTGTAATACATCAAATGAAGAGTACCATATGACATCACACGACAATTCTACAATTCCCATTAAACTTATTTGAAACAGTTTCCCTCCAGATATATATAAAATTAAGTAAATGGACCGCAATAAAGTGTATTGTTCTTTAACTAATTGTATAACTAATTCTATATACAAATTAAGCTACATAAATTTAATAACAATCCTTATTCAGCAGTAAATTATGCAACACTTTTGGCACACTTGTCCATCCATATTCGTGGATGTTACTACACTAACTGGGCTCAGTATCGAGAAGGTTCAGTGATGCTTTAAATAATTTCATTTTTATTAGAGAAATTAAATACTTTCAAGAAAAAGAGTTTCTAAACAAATGCGCAGTTTTTCAAATAAAAATTCGAAACCATTGATTGTAATGGCTATGATAAAATGAGAAGAAACAATTTATAATTAGTAATTCAACTTCCAACATAAGCGCAAATTCTTTTCATTACGGATTTTTAAATCCATTTTTATATGTGCCTTCATCAATGCAAACTAATATGCAAATAGAAACTACATAAATCAAATTAAGCAAAATAAATCTTATTATCACAATATTATTTATAATATCTATTTGTCAATCTAACATGCATTTTCATTTTAAAGGAGAAGGTAAATTCTTGCCTGAAAATATTCCAAATGGACTATGCACCCACATTCTTTACGCATTTGCTAAAGTCGATGAATTAGGTGATTCAAAGTAAGTTGCAAATGATATTTGTGATAGTAAATATGAATGCCATTTTCATATTTTGCTCAAACTGAAACTAAAATTTTTTCAAAATTTTATTAGTTACTCCGGCAGTGTTTATATGTGTGTTTGCTCAATATTCTTTTCCAATGAGTGCGCAATTGTCCCATCAAATACCATTTCTGTGATTCTTCTTTTTCTTCTCTCTCTCTCTTAGACCTTTTGAATGGAACGATGAAGATACTGAATGGTCGAAAGGAATGTACTCAGCTGTGACGAAACTGAGAGAAACCAACCCAGGACTGAAAGTCCTTCTTTCCTATGGTGGCTACAACTTCGGATCAGCAGTTTTCACTGTTAGTTTCTGTTTTCTTCAAAAGGATAGCATTCGTCAAACATATCGACAAAATTTCAGAAATAGTTTGTTGACATCTGCTCTCGTTGGCGCTCTCGGGACGTCCTATTGTTTTCTTTTCCATAAATTTAGTGATAGACAGACAATATATTAAGGGAATAGCAAAGTCGGCGCAAAAAACGGAACATTTTATTAAATCAGCTATAGCATTTCTCCGTAAGAATAATTTTGATGGATTCGATTTGGATTGGGAATATCCAGTCGGTGTAGCTGAGGAACACGCTAAACTTGTTGAGGTAAGCGCAATCTCTTAGCAATTTATCATAGTAATCAGACATTGATATCAAATTTCAGTTCACAAAGGGAAAATTTCATTTCCATTCGTTGTTGTGTGTTGATTTTACTGGAAAAAAAGAAGAAAATAAAATTTGTAGGCAATGAAAACAGCATTTGTGGAAGAAGCCAAAACATCTGGTAAGCAACGATTACTTTTAACCGCTGCTGTATCAGCCGGGAAAGGAACTATTGACGGAAGTTACAATGTGGAGTCTCTCGGAAAGTAAACTTTTCTTTCTCTCTTTGCCGATTTTTCATGTCAGACTTTCATTTATTTAGCGATATAATAAAAATTAGAGTACTAAAAATGTGAATATTTCTTCAGCATTAAACTTTGCAGAAATTTCGATCTCCTATTTCTAATGTCATACGATTTACACGGTAGTTGGGAGAAGAACGTCGATTTACACGGAAAATTGCATCCAACAAAGGGAGAAGTTTCCGGAATTGGCATATTTAATACTGTTAGTTTGTGAAGTGCATAAAAATTTCTTATGTTTACCCGTTTGTATGAAAACGAATTCACCATTGCTCCAGGAATTTGCTGCGGACTATTGGGCAAGTAAGGGTATGCCGAAACAGAAAATTATCATTGGAATTCCGATGTACGCTCGGGGATGGACATTAGATAATTCTTCGGAAACAGCGATTGGAGCAGCGGCTAGTCGTCCGTCGTCAGCATCGAAAACAAATCCTGCTGGTGGTACTGCATCTTACTGGGAGGTTTAATACAAAATATTAAATTATTTCCAAATACTTTTCTTAATTATTTTCAAACTCGATCTTTGACAAATATTAAAAGCGCTATTTTAAGATATGCAAATATCTGAAAGAAGGTGGCAAGGAAACGATTCATCAAGAAGGTGTCGGGGCATACATGGTAAAAGGAGACCAATGGTATGGTTATGATAACGAGGAAACTATCAGAATTAAAGTAATCATTTATTTCTCTTATTGTCGTAACTTTTGCGCTTAACATTGTTGTCATTCTATTTATGGATAGTTTGTTGAGAGCAAAGGAAGAATAATCTAAAAAGTATAGCTGCGAAGATATCTTTCAAAATAATTTCTCAATTTTTGCCTGTGTGACTATTTCGTTCTAATTATCAATTTCAGAATCAAAATCAGGTTATGCTGTACATTTGAAACAAAGTTACATATTTCCAGATGAAATGGCTTAAAGAGAAAGGATATGGTGGTGCCTTCATATGGGCTCTTGATTTCGATGATTTCACGGGTAAAAGCTGTGGCAAAGGTCCTTATCCATTGTTAAATGCTATCAGCAGTGAGCTTGGAAACAGTTTCATATTTTGGATGAAGAATTCTACAATTTCATCATGAATTGATGCATCTCAGAAAAATGTCAGATATATTAGCCAAAATTTAGAAATTGAATAAAATCATGGAATTCATCCCAGAATATTGTGCTTCATATGTTCATATGTCACTAAATTGCATGTTAGATATTGATATAGAGATTTTATTGATTTGATGGTTTTGATATAATCGAAATTCGGTAAGGATTAATAGGTTTTTTGTTATAGACTTTTTGCTTCTGATCCTGAAATTGCTTTGCACTGTCGATAATGAAATTACACAGGGATATTGCAGTATCTTTATTAAAAGATATAGTATAATAAATAGAGTTATTAATTTTGAAGTAAACGAGGAGGAATAAATAGAATGAGGAAGCAAAATATGTATTTTTGAGGATGATCCATTGGTTTGTTTACGTAATGTATATATATGCTTGTCGTGAAATTTGGGGTTCAATCTGAATATAACTTGTGGCTTAGAGTCGAATTGGATTTTCACATACTCAAGTGCCTTCCTTGTTTGTTATTGCTTTGGTATAAACGAATGTATTGAATAAGCTAGCAATCACAATACATAGATATTAATCTATAGCAACAATACTGATAATTCGTAGAGTATCTACGAATGAGATGAAGAAAATGGATGGATGGATGGATTGGTAAGGAATTTAATGGAATTAAATGAATTTTGAGTGAGGGAGAAAGCCGAACTGTAGTTTAGTGGTAAATTAAATCCTTATATAGTGGGCACTGACTTCCAACAAGAGCATGATTATTGAGTAATGAACTATTAGATGATCTTTACTCTTCATGGGTTTTAATATTGTAGCTTCTCAAAGAATAATTATTAGCTTAGAAAGAAATTTGGTTTGGAACAAATGAGTGATTTTTAACATTTATTATTAGTTTAAAATGTCTAGACAAGCAGATAAGTTTAGGTACAATGGGAAGATAAGTGTTGACATAATGATTGCTGCTTACATGATGTATAATTTGAAACAGTTTTACATTGCTAATGTTTAATTAAAACGAATTTTTGTATGATTAATACAATTCTATTTAATATATTTAGTTCGACGAGTGATATGTTCTTGTTCATTGACACTTTGAATTGATTTGTCGAACATTGTTGGTTGAGAATCCGAATTTTCCTCGCCTTTGAATAGCATATTCACCAGTCTGTTGAGAATTTTTTCTTGTGGTAATTTTATTGGTACACTCTTCTCTTTGGGTCCTTTCTCTTTAAGACTATTCAGTTATTCGTCTTTCCATATTCCCCAAAAGATATCGAGGGCCTTTAATGTTTTTCTTGAGTGTTCAGTTTATGAAGGATAAACTCATCCAATTCATTCTCCTTATTAGTAGGCATAATTAGAAGCATGCAATATGACACAATTGTCAAAATTTACGAAAGTTAGCGGCTGAGTATTTAAAATACTTTCTACTTCCATTATTGAAATAATCAATCCTCGTTCCCGTAATAACTTTCTGACCAATAACTCTTTTCATTGCCTTTTTTGTTAAACCAATAAGTCGCTCATATATTCTTCCATTCCATTCGCTTTTGGTACTGTATTTTTCCATATGATTTTCTTTTCTGCTAGGAATTCATTTAATTGCTGCTTTATAATAATTTTAAAAACCAACTGGAATTGACCAGCGTTGTCGCTCAAGATTAATTCCGGATAGCCTCGTCTTGTTGTAAATCTTCTCAAAACATGTAAAAAGCTTTCAGCTGAAGGGGTTTCTATCATTTCTAGATGTACAGCTCTTGATGTAAAGCATGTGAACAGTAATATCCATCTTTTTGTTAACTCATTATCATTCGTGGTATTGACAGGACCTAAATATCGTGTGGTTCGAGATGCTGGAAGATCGGCCATGGTTGGTAATTTAAATGATTTAGTTGTCGCACTTCATGCACTTATTCAAGATTTTTTTGACTTCCGTTCTACCTTTAGGTATCCATATTTCTACCTTTCGGTATCGATCTCAAATTTGAAAGTGTGTGAGCAATTCCAGCATGATATAATTACTCATGTTGTTGCTGAATAAGGAATTCAGTTATGGAATTATGTCTTGGGAAATATATTTGGGAGATGTAAGTTACTCTCTTTGAAGCCTCATTGAATATAATTTTAATTTCTTTATATTTGGAAAAAGCTTCATTGGTTCCTTTGGTTGGTATTATAATGTTGTCGACATAGAGATTTTTCTTTATCTCGAGCGCGATTTTGCTTTTATAAGTTTTCAACTGATAATTGAGAGTAACTAACAATAAAAATGGAAATGATACAATTCCAAATGGAACTCGTTGAAAACATTTTCTTCGTTAATTGGGCCTCGAATGTCCTTTAACCAAAGAAATCGAGTGCAATTTCTATCTGTTGGATACAGTGCTTTTCTACGTCTGCTATTATTACATTTTTCATTGTACGGAAGCATAACAAAACTCCATTTAAATCAGGAAGTGTTATCGGTCCCCGATATAAAACATCATTTAAACTTTTCATTCCTTTACAATGAGCTGATGCGTCATAAACTATCCTCAGATCTGTCGTGGTTTTATTGAATGTTAGTATTTCGTGGTGAGATAGATAATGAATAATACTTACCTCGTTTATTTCCGGTGATGCCTTTTCGATTATATTGAAAAGTTGTTCTTCAATAATTTGACTATATCGACTTAGTAATTGAGGTTCCATTTGAAGTCTTCTATTTAACGACTTTAATCATCCAAAGCAAAGTGCGATCATCGCTTAGTTTGTTCTTTGAATCTTCCCAAGGACAACAGACTCGATATCTTTCCTTTTTATAAAGACAGTTTGTTTAAATTGCTGCAGTGCTTTTTCATCATTGTCAGCATTTGTTTTATCTTGAATGCCAATTAAATTCCAGCTTCAAAAAGTGATCTAAGCCTGGAATATCGATGGCATTGACTAGATGAGTATGGTCCACTGATGTGATTTTATTGTCATTTGTATATCCACTTCCATACATCCAACCTTTTTTGGATCGATGAAATTCCGGATCTTAATTCCAGTTCTCTGCTTTGTCGAGCTGAATAAACCTAAAGAAATGATCCGCACCTATGAGAATGTCCGGTTGTTTCCATTGATCTTTGAAGTCGTTTAATTGATTTCGTTTGTTTATCATCAATAGTTCCTTTTTGTTTAGATTAATTACTTGTAATTCATTCGTCAAATAGTTTTGGATTATTTCTTTATTTCCAATTTTTACTCCGATTTCGGTTTTAGTAGTAAAACACATTTTTGGTATTTTATTGCCAAAGCAAATATGTTATTTGGAGTTTTTTTATTCAAATAATTTAGAAATGGGAAGATCTAATGTTTAATTAAAACGAATTTTAATGACAATATTTACACTATTTCCATATATCATATCAATACAAAAGAACTATGTAAGGAATATTTGATATGATTGACTAAAAAACCGAAAATATTGGCTTTCAGTATCTTTACCGCTATGGACAAAGATGAGAATTTAGTTAGATTCATAATAACAAAGCAAAAAAAAGAGGATGAAAAATTGATTAAATTAGTTATTAGTTTATCATAGTACAATTTGATGGATTAATTCTTACATGAAATTATTTTATTATTAAAACTTATTTTGAGGTTTTTTTTTTTGAAATTCTCATCAGTCGATTTCTTTCTTGCAAAAATCGTAGAAATAATCAGTACGAACAGTTAGTTACGTGTTCCTCGGTTAGCGATTAGCTGGTTTTGCGAACTATCAAGTGATAATTAACTATCTAGTGATAATTAACTATCTAGTGATAATTAACTATCTAGTGATAATTAACTATCTAGTGATAATTAACTATCTAGTGATAATTAACTATCTAGTGATAATTAACTATCTAGTGATAATTTGGAGATAAATATCATTTCAGAATCTATCCAGAGCTATCGTTTGCACTTGCTTTATAACTGAATTTGCTGAATAATGTTATCCCATACCAAATCTTAAAAATTAAAGAATTATTTAGAATCGTTTCCAGTCGTGCATCAATAGCCGCGAAAAGAAACACTGAATATTGATAAAAACGTGGTACAAGTAATAAAAACTTAAAGTAATAGAACTGAAGCAATATTTAGGACCAATGAAATTATTAAAACAATGACTGTTGCTTTTGAATTACCAAGAACATTTTCTGTGGCTTAGAAAGACAAATGTAATAATATCATTAGCTTTGTGCCACAAAGAATTCTTCCGACTATCGATCCATTGGTGAGTCTCTTTATTCCGTTCTGGCATATCATAATGGAAGGATCATGTATGAATAGATAGAGATGATCCTATAAATCGGCTATTTATCTTTGTTTTTTGTTTTGTTTTGTTTTTCCTGAAATGTATAAAAATAATACCTTGACGTCATTATGCAACCATTTTTTGGCAGTTCCCCGGAAGACACTGTCGAATGTTCTCTTTGCTAGTGGGATCTAAAGAGAGAGAGAGAGAGGGAGAGTTCAAAGCTAATATAATTACCTCAACTTCTTAATTAAAATTACATTACAGAAATGAAGGAGCTACATGAGTGATTATCTTCAGTTAGCAACCAATCAAGTTAGCAATCATAGCAGATGAGAATAAAAGAAGGATAAGCACATCATTTCCATTTAATATACCAAAGTTACAAAAATCTGAAATGTGCATGAAATTAAGCACAAATTGGTAGGGTAAAGTATGGCTTTTCATGTCAGTAATTTCTGTTATTTGCAGGCAACATTTCTTCCATTTAGCACTTTTATTTAAAATACACATTAATCAAGAAAATCGAATTAAAATAACCTTTTTATTTCATACATACGGACAACAAAGTCATATGGTATGGTCAGTACTTACTCTTATTTCTTTTTTCAAAGATTTTTATATTCAATAGTTTTCTGAAACACTAATCAACAATATTCGTCGAAAGACTGTCAAGACAAAAGCTTGGCAATTTATAAAGTATATTTTGAATATATTAGACGTTACAGAATTTTGATATCACTTCTACAA